GGGGCTCCTCCTTTCCTCCGTCGTCGGGGGCGCTGCCGGATCCGCTGGAACTAGGCTTCTGGCCTCGTCTCCGACCGGCCTCCCGCACCAGGCCCCGGGGGCGGGGCGCCTGGGCCGTAAATAAAGAGAGTAACTCGTAATAAAATAGTTGCTTTTATTTCTTAGCAAAACTAGTGATGCTCCCACGTGCTATTTACAACAGGCCAAACGGGTTTTATTTCAAGTACAACATACGGATCAGGACATGGAGACAACTCTGGTTTGGTTTTACAGGACGGGACGTCACGAAGCGAAGAAACTCGCACACTCGAGGACCGATGCCGGGGGGCGGGGGGCGGGGAGGAGCTGAACGCCTCTGCCGACCGAGGGCTGCCGGGTCGCCCCCTCGCTGGCCTCCGAAGCCCCCCCCTTCCTCCCCCCCCCCTCTCTCCGCGCCTGCCTCAGCCGCGCCTTTGGGTGGTCGTGGACTTGCCCGGGTAGGTGTGACAGAGCATGCGCCGACCCCACCCTCCCCCACCCCCGTGGAGGGTCGCCTGCTGAGAGTTGAGGGCCCGGCCAGGTCCACGGAAGGAGGCTGCGGGACAGACGGAGGAAGGTCGCCGGGTGTGAGTGGGGGCTGGAAGAAGAGGGACGGGGGGGGGGGGGGGGCCTAACCCCTGCGCCCCTGGGCCCTGGGACCCCTGCCGGCCCCTGCAGCCCCTCCTCTCCCTCCCTCCCTCCCTTTCCTGCTGGAGACGAGGGTTCCCAAAGGAGCCTTCCGGCCTCCTGGCGCCTGCTGGGGGCCTTCCCTTCCGGAGTGCCGGTCTCCCACAAGGCGCCTTTGGAAATCTGTCGAGGCTCCTTGCTACCCGCTTGGAACCGGTCAGACTCAGTGCGCCTTCCGAACAGCTTTCCTGTACAGTCCGGCAATTCAAAGGGCGAGGGTGTCCCTGGCCTGGCCGCCTCCCACTCCTCCTTCCGGCCAGAGATGGCTGCCGCCCCCCCACCCCCGCCCAGCCGTGCAGCCTGACCTGCTGCCAGGGAGCCCCCTCGCTCGCTCGCTCGCTCGCTCTCGTGGGAGAGACTTTCCAGGACGCCCCGCGCGGTGGGTGGGGAGTGCGCCGTCAGGTTGGAGGCCTACAAGGGAGGAGGACAGCAGAACGGGAAGGGTGGCCTTAGTCTTTTAGATTCAGCCCCCCCCCCCGGTAAGCCCCCCCCCCGGTAAGCAGGTTTGGGGGGGGGGAAGGAAACTAATGTAACCGTCCTCGTTCAAGATGAGGCTCAGTGCGTACCTGGAGCCCTGGAGCCACATGTAGATTCTAGAACTTTCCACCAGCTTTTAAGTGACTGTTGAAGGCAAGTCCTGAGCCTCGGGTGTGGTGTGGGTCCACAATGGAAGAGAGATTAGGAAGCCCCACCCTCTCCGTCCACCCCAGACTCAAAACCTTCCCTCTCATTTCTAGCTGGATATCCCTAAAGTGCCACCTAGTCACAGCTGACTTGTGGTTGACCCTGTGGGGTTTCCCAGGCAAGAGGCGGTCAGCGGGGGTTGGCCCTTGCCCGCCTCTGCACAGCCACCCAGGGCTGCCTTCCATCCAAGCCCTAACCAGGGCCAGCCCACCTTGGCTCATCAGCCCTGATGAGACTGGGTTGGCGGGGGGCGGGAGAGGCCTCCAGGTCAGGGCTACCAAAGTTCAAAAAGGCAAAGGGGGTGTCATTTTGAAGCCAAACAGGAATGAGCAAGAAGCTCAGAGATTCTCTGGGGGACAGACAAGGGGTGGGTCAAAGCCGCCTTCCGGTGAGGGGCAGGATCCTTTTCCAAGGGCAGAAAAGTATTTTCTTGCCTCCCCCTGCCCCTGTGGCCCACAGAGCTACAGGAAAGGCAGCTGCTGCTGCTGCTGCTGCTCCAGGAGAGATTCTCCTAAGAATGTGCCGGGGGCTGGGGGGGGGGGATGGAGGAAACAGCCAATGTCGGCTGGATCCACCTGGGAGAGCCACAGCAGGGCCTGACTTGGCTTGATTCTCCGGGGGTGGGGTAGCCACACGTTCTCTTTATTGCCCACACCGACTCTCCGCTCGTCTGTCGGGATGTGTTGCGTTTCCCTGGCACTGTAAGAACAGGGTGGTGGGTGAGCAGGGCACGCCGGCCCTGCACGTGGTCACGGGATGCCCCTAAGGATCTGGGCGGCTCCTGTCTTTGGTGCACTCCTTGCCCACGACGGATGGATGGCCGTGTGGCAAAGGAGGCCCTTGGGAGGGGGGAGGGGGCTTTGTCCACGGCTGGGGGGGAGCCCCTGCTCGGTCCGGGGCTGGGGGGGAGGGCCATACCCTGCGTGGGGTGGGTTGTTCCCTCATTGGGGGGGGGGGGGCAGCCGCGGTGTCGTAGTGGAGCAGAGAAGGAGGCGGCACCTTGATCTCCTGCCTGGGGACCTTTCACTGGGCGGGGAGACGTTCTTCTCCTGACTCATGCAAAAACCTGGATGAATGTCAGAAACACTGTGAATGGCCGAGTTTCTTTGGGTGGGGAGGGCATGGGGGAGGGGGAGACGACACTGCCGGGTCTGGCTAGAAGCCCCTGGGGCGCTTCATCAGCACTCTCTCAATGTAGTTCTCCAGCTCCTGGTCGTAGGCCTGGTTGTCGTCGTAGTCCTCGTCCCGGGGCACCATGGGCCCGGGGAGGTGGGCGTAGCGGTGGGATGGCGGGGGCTGGAAAGTCCTGGGGCTGATGTAGTTGGAGATGATGTTGTCCGGCTGGGCACGGAACCACTTGGGAGCTGGGTATTCGTCTCCTCTCAGGACTTCGTTCCAGGCGTCCTCGTCCTCTTTGGGGAGGCGACGGGGGGGCTGTCGGGCCGGAGGGTAGTGGGACTTCTGAAGGGGCTTTGGGCCCGGGAGGTAGGCGGGGTAGGAAGGGGCCTTCTTGGGCTTGTCTCGGGGGGCAAGTGCTGCTGGGGCCTTGCCCTTGCCGAGAGTCTCCGGCACCACCACCTCCTCCTTCTTCTTCTCTACGTCATTAATTATGTCTATGACATCATCGGCGGGCAGGTGGAGCTTGCTGGAGAGCTCGATGAGGCGATCGATCGTGTTGGGATCAATGTCTTCCTCGTCCTCCTCTTCGGCCTCCTCTGGCGCCTCGTTGGAGCGCTTGTCTTCAGCCACGTTGCCCTCCTCGTCCTCGAACAGCAGGGCGCTGCTCCCTTTCCGGCCGCCTTCCTCGGAGCCTGGCCGGGCCGCCTCCTGGCTCTCCTCCCCGTCCTTCAGCAGGTACTGGAGGAGCAGGTCCGAGGCCATGTCTGCCAGGCGCTCCTCCTCGGCGGCTGCCCGGCGTGCCTCCTCGGCCTGCCTCCGGCTCTCGGCCAGCTCCTCGTAGCGCCTCTGGAGGAGCTGGTGCTCCAGGTGCTGCTGCTGCCTCAGCTTCCGGGCCCCCTCCCAGGGCTCGCCAGGGGGGGCCTGGCGCTTGGTGTGGACTCTGAGCCGCTCGTACTCCTCCAGCTCCTGGAGCACGTCGTCCCGTGTGCCTTCCGGGGGGGCGGGGGCAGCTGCTCGGCGCTCCTGCCTTTTGGCCGTGGGGCTGTGCCCTTGCAGTTCCTGCAGCCTCGACTTCAAGGTCTCCTCCTCCGGCTGGCCAGGAGCCCCCACTTCCAGGGACCGGCCCCCGGCCCCCCAGCCACCTTTCCAGCCCGGCTCCCTTTCTGGCCGCACGTCAGAGCTCTTGGTCTCGCTGCGGACTCTCTCCTCATTGGCGGTGGGCTCCTGGTCTGCGTGCCCCTGGCGGGGCTCCTCGGGCTGGAGGTGAAGGGCTTGCAGGAGGACTGCCGCCAAGGCCTCGGGGTCAACATCCTGGAAGAGGTCATCTCCGTGGGCTGCCGCGGCGGCATCTGGGTCGCTCTCAGGCAGGGAGCGGACCTGCATCTCGCCGGGTGGCGCCTCTTGTGTCTTGGGGGAAGCTTCGCCTGGGTGGGCCTCTCCCCCCGGAGGGAGGGGGGCCGCGGCAGGGAGGTGGCATGGCAGCTGGAGGCAGAGGGAGAGCAGCAGGGCAGCTCTGCAGAGGGGGCCCCGGGGGCATGGCATCCTGCCGTGAGGGTGGTGGGACTGCTGTGGAGGGGAGACACACACAAGAGGGGGGGGGTCAGAGAGTGCTGCTGTCCCAGAACCCTGTGCAGGGCCCCCCACACACACGCACACACACACTCCCCCCCCCACACACACTTAATGGCCTCTTGGAGGGGACCCCCCCCTCCAGTCTCCATAGCCCAGGGGCAAAGGGACCTTGACCCATA